CAAAATTTCTGTTGCTAAGTGAGATATTTGTTAAGTGAATTGTGCCCCATTTTACATTTTCTTGCCATAGTTAAGTGAATCACTACAGTTGTTGAGTTATTAACACAGTTGTTAAGTGAATTGTGCCCCATTTTACATTTTCTTGCCATAGTTAAGTGAATCACTACAGTTGTTGAGTTATTAACACAGTTGTTAAGTGAATTTGGCTTCCCCATTGCCTTTTCTTCTCAGGTCACAGAAAGTGATCACATGACCTCAGGACATATCTGCTGACAAGAATTTGAATTTTGATCATGTGACCAAGGGGATATTACACCATAAGTGTGAAAACCAGTTATAAATCACTTTTTTCCAATGCCGTTGTAACACTGAATGGTTACTAAATGAGTGACTGTAAGTCAAGGACTACCTTTAATTAGAAAGATAAAACTTTCACATTCTTTATAAATCATTGCCATAGTGAAATATGAACATAAACTAGAATGTTGTTTTGTATTTTCCATGTCTGGAACTCTTTGCATACTGTACTGAATGTATATTGTATTTTGAAACAGATGGATTGCTTATGAAGGCTGCAATTTCTTGGGGAAACAGTTTCTTCTTGAATCAAGCAAGATTTCAAACTGGACACAGTTTAGTGGATGGACAGCAATTGGCTCTCTTCGTCCCATAAAGCAGGTACTAGTGTAAAGATGATTCCCATCCCCCTAAACCTGAAATGGCAATTTGAGGTTCTTAAATGACAACCACTGAAAATTGATAAAGTGAGTTCTTGCCATTTTAAGGTTAGAAATACACAAATCTATCTACAAAGCCTAACACTACACTTTACGCACATTTGGAAGCATGAAATCAAATAAAAGTTTCACCTAAGACACCTAATTTTATGATCCTATTTGCCGCAGTCATTAAATGAAAAATCACCTGCTTACACTTTCCTACCTTCTCTGCCAGATTCCCCATTGACTTAGCATGTCGGAGGCCCTCTGGGAAGGTGTTGTGATCAATGTTGATCACATGATCACAAGATGCTGCAACCATTGTAACTATGAACAGGTTACTAAGCACCCAAATTGTGATCTTATGACTACAGTGGTGGTGTGACAGTTGTAACTTCGAGGACAGGTGTTAAATCATTTTTTTCAGCAGTCATAACTTTAAACTGATTAAACAAATCATTGTAAGTCAAGGATTATCTATACTATTGAGAAAAATGTTCTGTGTATACAAGTTTTATCATATGGATTCATGTTTCTTCATGAAGTATGAGTTAATTATGCTTTTCTATTTCAGCCAGCCGTGTATTTCAGAATAAAGAACAGATCCCAAGAAAAGTACTTGACAGTTGCTGGCACTTTAATGGATGGAAGAGCTACATCAGTATGTTTGTTCCCACAAAATGGCAAGAATACTCAGATCTGGCATTACAGTCGTGGCCTCATCAAGTCCAAGGTAGTTTTTTTACTTAGCAAATTTATATGCCACCCATCTCAACTTTTAAGCAGCAGACAAATTAAAATAAGATCAGGATATTAATTGATTTTTAACTCATCCTTATTAACTAGCTTCATATCTGCGGAATGTTTTAAATCAACATTTCATTGCACTTACAATCTGCTGTAACAAGTGTGACTTTTAACTGCAAGTTCTTTAGAATAAAAATGGGCCATATTTTAAAAGGAAATGAAAGAGATCTTTAGAGAGTTTATAATACATTTCATGGAATAACAAGTTATTTCATTTCTAAAAGTTTCAGAAATAGTCATTCTGAATGTAATCATCATTGTAATGGATATTTTTGGGGTTAGAAAGTTCCTTAAATAGTTGGTATTTTTTCAAAATGAGAATTTACTTATCTATAATTCCCTACCAGTCTAAAGTGAAGGCAGATTTGGAGCAATTTCAATAATCTATTACATGTACTTACTCTTTTTATACATTCCAGGAATATTTGTTAGATCTATATCCACCTAAACCCCAAGGCAAAATACACAACTCACTGTCCTCTAATGTTTCTTCACAACTATTTTGAGACAGATTTTTCTGTGAGGTTACTCAATGGTGGACTTGAATCTCATCTCACCACTCTTAGTCCAACACTTTTGCTTTTCTAAAAATCTATAATCAGTTCTACTATACACACAAATTCCACTGGTTGCAAAGGTAAATTAGGTAATTAAGAATTCTGAATGTGTTTAGACTCTTAAACAAAAAAATATCCTAGGAATTCTTTGTTATTTATGTACTAAATCAAATTCTGCCTATCATTTTTGCTCCACAAATTGAAGGAACATTCTTTCACAAACCGTTAGCAAATTATAGTTGCCGTCATTTATAAAAATTATCGTTCTTCTAAGTGGAGTATGAAGGGTAAATTATGTTTTTAAAATTTCTGGCTTAATTTATACCTAACTCTTAATACAACTGGTCAAATTTAGACCACTGCCTACCTATCCCCAATAATTTGTTTTAGAGCTACTATTTCCTTAAGTGAAGTTACATTTTATGGTATTATTTATTAGACATATGTCTGACAGAAGTATATACATAACACTTTTAAGGCAATCAGCAATTTTTCCCGCTCCTACCTATCTAGGTCAATGATGCTTGCCTTGATGTCATTGGAGGCAGGGACATACCTGGAGCAAAAGTTGCCCTGTGGGCAGAACATGGAAAACCAAGACAGAAATGGACATGCAATAAGGATGGAACCATCACATCTTATCTCAGTGACCAGCTTGTTCTTGATATCAAAGGTAATAGCATAGAGGGGATATAGAAAGTCTGCATACTCATTAAAATGCCAGGTTTTTGAGATGTAAAAAAAAAAAATCAGACCAAGATAAATTACTTCAGAATTCTTTCCACCTTTAATATTAACATATAAGCTGCATAATTCAGTTGAAAAACAAACTGAAATATTTTAGGAGAAAAAATAACAATAAAAAACTATAATAATGTGACTGCATTAAGTGTTCACACTCTTTAGAAGTAGGGATGTGGCTGTGTTCAGAATCACATTCAATCTGATATTAAATAGTAGTCACTACACACCTGCCATCAATTAAAGTCTGATCAAGCCCATATAAAGTTCTGCTGTTCTAGAATGATTTTTTTCTCATTTACTCAGTTGCCTCTTACATAAAAATGTATGGTCTGCAAAGAGCTTACAAAGCATCAGAGATCTCATTTGATGTACCATGGAATACAACGAAGACAATCATTAGCAAGTGAAGAAAATATGGCATAACACAGACATTACCAAGACCTGTATGTCCCTCAAAAATTAATTTAAAAAAAAACACTAATTGAGAGGCTGCCAAGAAGCTTACATTAAAGAAGCTGCAGGAATTTCTGGCAAGTACTGGTTAAATACTATATATGACAACAATCTTCAATATGTCTGAACTGTAGAGTAGGATTGAAAGCAAGATAGCCTTTTCTTACAAGGAAAAACATTCATGCCCAGCTACATTTTGCAAAACCCTACTTCAAGTCTGACAAAAGTATATGGGAAAATGTCTTATGGTCTCAAACCATGTTTGAACTTTCTGACCATGATTCCAAAAAGTAAGTTAGGCATAAAAACAGCACTGCACATTGCTAAAAGTACATCATACCCACACTGAAGCATGTTGATGGCAGCATTGTTTTGAGGCTACTGTTCCTCAGCTGGAACTGGGGCTTTAGCCAAGATGGAATTATGAACAGTTCCAAATATCAAACAATTTGAGCACAAAATTTTCAGGCTTCCGCTAAAATGCTGAAGAGGTATTTCACCTTTCAATACAACGGCCCAAAGCTTATATCCAAATCAACAAAAGAATGGCTTCACCAGAAGAATATCAAAGTTTTGAAATGACCCAGCTTCACCCCTGATCTGAATNAGTGTGACTGCAAAGAATATAAATCCTTCTATTCCCCACCATTCAATCCAAACGGAAGAAGATTCTTGAATAAGAAGTAAAACATCTTCAAAAAAAAACAACCAAAGTCCAGTTGCCTTTTGAAAAGCACCTTTGGGTTCCTCTGTCTTCTTTTGCAAATGTTTAGAAATGTGGTGCAAGGTCATTTGGTAACATCAGTATTCTTCAACAGATAAGTGCTGATTTACACACCTTTGAAATGAATTATATGTAAGGCTACTTATTATATTTGAAAAACATATTTTCTAGCAAAGCTAGACTTACAGCTTTCCAACTCTAGAGAACAATTCTGAGTGTCAAGTGGGAATCTACTGAAGTCCATGAAACACATGGCTGAAACTGTTATCCTGTCAAAAGCAAAGAATAGACCATTTCAAATGATTCACAATATATGAAGTGCTTAAATATGAAATCTTTCAGTAAGATCCTATATTTATTTTTCAAGTTTTCCTAAAAATACTTTTATGCCCTCACATTTTAATTCAGAGAAGTAGAGTATATGAAATGTGGGCAGTCTCTTTTTTCAAATAGCAAAAACAAAGCTACAAAGGACTTTTCTGGAGGAAATATCCAAAAATGTGAAAAATCTCAGTTGTCTTTCCCACTTTATCATATCCCAATTACATCAGGATAAATAGAGTGATATTCTCTAACACCATGAGACTCCCAGCTGCTGCCATTTTAGAGGCAGGGATTAGACAATAGAAGTAAGGTTATTATCTTTCTGCCATTAGGAGAACCTCTCTTATCAAACTCTCCTCTCTCCTACTTCCTACTTTCTTTTTATTTTCCCAAATTAACAAAATATTGGAAAGAGAGTATGCAAAGAGGCCCAATTGTCTATCCATCAGCAGAGTAATCTTCTGAACAAATCTGATATAAGAAAGAATAAGTCGCAAAAGAAAAACTGATTTCAGAAATGCACTGAATCTGTTTGGTGGCTGCAGACAAAAAAATATTCTCCCAGTACACTCCTAGAGAACAGGCACTTGGGCAGCAGCTTAAAATATAGATGGCTGCTCTATGTAGCTCACCTTAGGCTTTACAATGAATACATTTAATGGAACATAAGACATTGGTACATTGGTAAAAGTATTGGGCAGATTCCCAAAGCCATACAGTACTCTGCATGCTTTTCAAACCTTTCTTTCTTTCTTTTATCCCCCCCCCCTTGGTTTATGATCAGAATTCTTTACTTTACTTTGAGCTTTTTAACTGAACTTTCTAATGCAACCTTATACTAGGACAACAGCTGGACTGATCTCCTATGGAACATACAAGGTCATCAACAGAGGCCGATCTTTTGTCTGAAACTCATCCCAAGAATTCTTTTCTCAGAGCACAGGAAAATTGTAACATTATGTTGATAAGTTATTATGTAATCAGCAGAAGCAAAGTTTGTGTATTCTTAGGGAATTAGCAAAACATACATTACTATATTTTAGTTGTTTTACACCAGACCAAGGAAATATTTTATTATCATCCCCATTTGACAGTGTGGGTAAATTAAGATTCAGAGAATCTGGATTATTTAATACTCTTGATGGCTAGACAGAGGCAAATTTAGACAGACATGGAAGAAACATTGCAGTTAAAGTGACCAGTGGGGGCTGAAAATCACACAATACTGATATAAATTTAGGGATAGTTGCATAAGGTCTAGAAGTTATATAAATAAACCAGCCTTCCTTAAACAGACATATTCCAAATATGTTGTTGAATTGTACCATTCCTAAGAATTATGGGGAGGTATATTCCCATGCATCTAGACAGTACCAACTATGGGAGGACTAATGTAACCCGCACCCCATAGTAATTTTCCCATGTTGTATGTGTTCTCCTGACTGAAAGGTAAGAGATCTGTGCTTACCGTAAACTGAAGAGCACATTGCCATCTGGATAGATACGTAACATAATATTCTCCATGGTTGTGTCATGGATAAAAGATCTTTTAGAATGAACAAAAAATGTGTCAGGTACCCAAATCTTTTTTATTAATCTTCCATCAAATGTCATGCTTTTGTTTCTGGTACTAGGAAATGAGAGTCTTTCATCCTTCCAGTAATGCCTGAGATACAAAGTCATTGTGAAATCCTATATAGAAAGAAGAGAGGGGGAATACAGATATGCATTCATGCATTTAATAATATAATCTGTAAAAGTTGTCATAGCTAATCTTACTTTTCAATAGTTAAGCCATTAATATGGATTAGTAATTCGACTATTGGCATTAAAAGTCAAAAACGTACTTTGGACTATGAAGAAGCATGGTTTCAAGAAATGGTGGAACTGCTTTAAGGAACTGCACAGAGATGGTTTGTTCTCATCTCAATATACCCTGCAACATCTTTCCTTCCCTTTGAATCCAAATGACTGTATGGCAGTCTTAAGTAAGCACCCTAGTTTATTCACAGAATACTTCAGTATGATGGAATATTGTTTCATACAACATAACCAATATTTCTGCAGTACAGGTTGCATATGTTAAATGGTAAATTTATTATTCAATATTTCAATAAATTTAAAATTGCAATGCATTTAGGAAAAATTGGTTTCTCTGTGTTGAACACCTATAAATAAACACCTTATAAAGAAATTGGAGGGTTGAGCTAATTTTTGGAATGGATGCTCAAAATGTTAATACACCAGAGTTAAATTTTAAAATAGCTTCCTTTTGGATTCAAAAATTCATCTTAATTTGCCTATTAAGATTTTTGGAGACCTTTATGTTTATGGACAGCTACAGGGATAAGTGTGATGAAACAAACTCTATAACTTGTGTAATTGCATCAGATATCATAATACAAGTACATAAGGGCAAGATTTACATCATAATATCACAATGCAAAAATCATAATTTGGATGTAATCTTCATATGATGTTCTTGCCTATGCTGGCATATTTTGAAAATACGTGCAAAGAGCTTCAAGATTAATGAGAAAATACAGGTAGTCCTCAAATTTCAACCTCAAATGGAGCCCAAAATTCCAAGACAGTTAAGTGAGTTACGCCCCATTTTATGACCTTTTGCCACAGTTGTTAAATGAATTACTGCAATTGTAAAGTGAATCATGCAGTTGCTAAGTGAATCTGGCTTTCCCCATTGATTCTGCTTACGAGAAGCCATCTAGGAAAGTTACAAATTGTGATCACATGATTATAGGATAGTACAACTGTCATAAATCCATGCAGTTGCCAAGTCCCCAAATTCTGATCCCAAGACTATGGGGATACTGCAATAATTGTACAGTAAGTGTGGAAACTGGTCATAAGTCACTTTTTTAATGCAATTATAATTTTGAACAGTCACTAGACAATTGGGTATAAGTCAAGGACCTCCTGTATTGGCATTACAAGTTTTTATTGTCAGAAAAAAATCAGTATTATAAAGCTGAAAGGAAATTCTCTGCCAGTTATACAACGACATGAATAAGTCGTCTCTCTTTTCTTTGATAGGACTATTTAGAAATTCTGTCTGCCTTAATTTATGCACTCATTTTTGCATTATTGTTGTGAAAATAGTGATAATTTAAATGTAGACTGTTATATGAACAAATAGGTCTTTATTATAATATAAGGGATGTTTGCTTTTATAAGATATTTCTCTGATAGGAAACAGAATAATTAGTTGTATAAAAAATAATCACTTGTGTAGTAAATGATGTACAAATTATTTGAAGATTCCCCTTTGCCCACATTTTCCCCTTATTCCCTATCACCAAATTGCTAATTATTTCACCTGAATTTATGTATTACATTTTCAGCAACTGAAGAAAAACTTACCATGTCAACTTCTGAAATTTTGTCAATGCTTTCTACTTGCACATCAATACCAACTGGAATTGGTGATCCTTTAACAGACAGAGAATAAACAGCAACAATAAAAGAGTCCAGGAACATTTTAAGTCTTTTGCTTCATCAGAGTTTAACCACAACTTAAATGTGGAAATCACTGTTGCTTTGAAGTTCTTTTTGAAGCAATTGTGTGAACACTTTTTTCCAAACAGAAGAGAGTCTTCTGATCATATACAGCAGTTGGCAGCAACCTAAAATCCATGGGAACTATCAGTGGTACTGGATATAACTTGCATACACATCTGGTCACCTGTTTTTGCTTACTCCTTCAAAGGATGGGGATCGCAGATCACCCGTTAGTTAGTATTTCCTTAAATACCCTCATGTAAAGCTATGAATTCTGGGGAATTTAAAATGTTGGATGCTTCATCTCAAAATGTAGTAGGTCTACAAGGGTCACGTGGGCAAGCAGATACTGGAGAAGCCAACAGGCTTGAAAATACAATGTGCTACAAGTAGTCCTCGAAGTAAAACCATTCATTTAGTAACCATTCGAAGTTACAACAGCATTGATAAAAATGACCTATGTCCATTTTTCACACTTGCAGCATTCTCCTGGTTATATGATCAAAATTTGGACACTTGGCAACTGGTTCATATTTATGATAGCTGCAGTGTCCTAGGATCGCCTTTCGTGACCTTCTGATAAGTAAAATCAATGGGGAAACTAGATTCACTTTTTTTTTTCATTTTATTTAAATTTATAGGCCGCCCTTTTCCCTAAGGGGACTCAGGGCGGCTTACAATTAATGGGAAGGGAGTGTAGGACAAAACACAAGAAGAAGAAAAAATGTGAATTAAAAAAAAACAACAACAACTATGTTAACAATTGCAGGGATTCGCTTAACAACCGTGGCAAAAAGGTTGTAAAATGGGGCAAATCTCACTTAGCAATTGTCTTGCTTACCAGAGGAAATTTTGTGCCCAGTTGTGGTCATAGATTGAGGACTACCTGTATCCCCCCTTCATTTTGCTGCCATTAAGCGGGGTGGGGGGAAAGAGCTAAGGCATTGACTGTGTATTGCTGGTCAGCTTTTAGACTGGCCGATTGAAAAAAGAGGAAGACATGTGGCCTTTCTCACAATACATTCTTAATGCTTCTGGGATCCAAAAATAATTCCATGGAAAGTATGTGGTACTTACACAGGAATGTGCCACACATTTTGAGATAGGCATTGAACACTGTATTGTAAGTCTATAGAAGGCCAATGTATTTCATAACTGACCTTAAGAATTCATGACTTGGAGGTCAAATATATATACTGTACTTGGTGTGTATCTTTTTCATTCAGCTTGTGAAAACTTGGAAAATATTAGGAAGTAATTTAAGGCTTCTCATTCTGTTACATTAAAAAATCCATGCATTGGATCTTTCTAATCATTAGGATAAATTCTCTCCTTTCTTGTATCTAGCTCACGGGTCTCCAACCCCAGTTTGTGGACCAGCAGTGGGCCACAGCATGCCAGAAACTGCATCCATAGGATGCAGGCAGCACACAAAACCATGCCCTCTCCAGTCTGTGGAAAAACATCTCTCCGCCAAACCAGCCCCTGGGGTCCAAAAGGTTGGTAGCCGCTGGTCTAGATGAATGAAAGTTAATACATAAAAGCAATTTTGTTAAAAAAATTATAATTGTCTCATTTTAAAAGGTCCCCATTAAAATACTATATAAAATGTTTATAAATAATGTCTGAATCTTCCAAATAAACAGACAGCTTTCCCCCTGCTTTTTATATTAAAAGCCTCTTAATAAAATTCAGTATGTTGTTACATAACTTTTCATATTAGGTCATATGCAGATTGTAATTTTTCTTTAATCACAACCGTTTTGGGACTGTGGGAGTTTGAAGACAATTATTGGTTAACACAATATTATTCCTGTAACAGGCATGCTACCACATAAATATGCATGCATTTATTGTTGAGCCTGCTGATTTTAAAGCAAATCATATAATGACTGTATTTCATTTGTACAACTGTAAAAATCATTTTTCTTATTAGCTCAGCTAACATAATGACTGGGGTGTTTAAGTGTAGGATATAGATTTCTCCCTTCTCAATGCAGAAGATGACTTAATTTCTTCTAGATGTTGTGATGGGATGTTGCAAACTACTGTACATAACGAGAGCTCATTCAAAGCATTTGGAAGACTTAAAAGTAAGCAAACATGTCACCATCCACTTTCTGGAAAGCCCATGACAAATGAAGCAGGTGACCTACCTGAAGTTTGACAAACGCCTCGGGGTACTTTGATTTACCTAATAGTGGAAGGCAAGAGGACATTGACACTAACCCTGATATGCTTGAGCAGAGGGTTGGACTAGAAGACCTCCAAGGTCCCTTCCAACTCTGTTATTATGTTAATTGTTATTGGAACAGCATTTTTATTAAATTGCAATCATTCTGTATAGAATTAGTGCATAGAATAGAGAGCAGATTCCAGAATAGAGCTTTTTCCAACTAAATAACTAGAGATTCATGTGGGTGCATTAAAAGGTAACATGTCATTATTAAAAGCATTTATTTCACCTTTAAAAAAATATTTAGGCTCACTGTAGTTGAGATGTACAACCATTTATGAATATACTGAAGAAAACAAATAGACCACCAAGGAAGAGCATAGTATACTTTTAACTGTAAGTTACCTCAGTTTGTACAAATCAAGCTTGTCTCTAATGTTAACATGGGGTAGCCAATCTTTTATAGCTAGACATTTTAATAGTACGTTAAATATTTTTACATAATGGTGTAGTGATGGATGTGGTCAGCCACAAAGCAGCTATTTAGCAGAAGGCAATGGGAACATTTTTACTCTCTACAAAAAACAATATATGTTTTAATATTTTACCTATATACCACCCCAGAGTCTCTCTGTGAGGGAGAAGGCAGTTTCAAAATTTGATAAATAAATAAACCCAAATAAATAGAAAATAATAATTGAAAAAAATCAGGAGAAANAAATCACAATTTTCTAAATAACAGTTTGAAGACATTTGGATTACAAACTGCATTAAACCATAAATTAAGCTACAAAACCCAGATCCCTATAACATACCAAATCAAAATCAAACCACATTATGATTTAGGATACAGTATACAATCATAGATCTAATAATTCTAGAGAACTATTTCAAATGAGGAGAAAATGTGCAATATACTTGCTGAGTTTTAAGACAAATGAAGATTCAAAAGCATATTTATGAGAAATTGTTTTCCTGGAGTTTGTTTTTTTATGGTTTTAATAATTAATTGAAGAGAAACTAAATTTCTTTTCCAACTTACTTACACAAACGAATAATCTTCCCAACTTTATTATGATTTTATTTATTACGTTTGCGCCTTATGTCAAAGAAGATTGGGTAGCATATAGTGTTTTCCCATTTCAATTAAGAAAAAAATTAGCCTCCAAAAATATGATTGACCAAGGCTTCGGAAAATATTTCATTGTTCAGGAATTGGACAATAAAGTTTTCTAATCAAATGAAAATTGCTATAGTATGTAAGTTAATCAGCATACATTGATATATGCATATACATCAATGTATAAACAAAACCATAGTCCTAAATATTTGAGTCTGAAATAAGAGTTATTATTTCCGTTCTCATGCTCTAAATAAAAGGTAGGGAAGTCATGTTTCATATCCCATCAATTAACAGGATGCCATCTTGTGTGCTTTTTTTTGTCATGGCACTCAAGCTCTGGAACTTCTTGAGACTAGATTGGTCCCAAGTTTGCTGGCCTTCCAAAAACATTGGTTGTTTAATCAGGCACAGGAGGCAGGACCTTAATGAGGCCAGGGTGATTTGTCATTGTTTTATGGTTTCTATCCTTGGCAGCCATCTCTTTTTTCTCCCTGATTATATATAGTGCTTTATAGTTATTATTATTATTCCAATTATAAATTTTCTTTGTCTCCCAAAGTCACTCTGACAAGAGGGGTGGCCATATAAATCAAAATGAATAAACAAAAGATTTCTTCCTGATAACATGTATTTACATGTAACTTACAGGTGCATCTATGGATTACATTTATCTACAAATTCATTATGAAGAGGAATCCGAGCAATTTCAAAAATGAAGGAAAATGAACTATATTCTATATGTAAAAACACATATATACACTTAGTCCTCGACTTAGAACTATTCATGTATCAACATAGAAAAAAGTGACATAGCTGAAACTCAAACTTACAATCATCATAACATCCTCACAGTACCAAGATCAAAATTCAGGTGCTTGGCAATGGGCATGTATTTATGATAGCTGCATTGTCCCAGGGTCACACAATCACCATACTAGCCATTTAATGGTACAAGCAGAGTCAATGGGGGAAGCTGGATTCATTTGACAACTGCATTTACTTAACAAATGTAGTGATTTGCTTAACAACTATGGAAGAAAAACTCATAAAATTGGGCATAATTCACTTAATAAGCATCTTGTTTAGCAACAAAAATTCTGGTTTCAATTGTGATTATAAATCGAGGACTAACTGAATGCCTGGCAACTGCAGAGAAGAAAATATAGACAACAATGCCATTTGAGAAGGAATATTTAGAATTTAAAAATAATAAAATGCAGACTGTAGCACGATAAGATCTGCTAAACAGAAATAAAACCAACCTCTGCTATCTCTTCCTTATTCGTACTTTCATCCCCCATCATATGGATCTGCCTTTGATTCTTTAAGCAGTGATAAACAAAAATCATTTCTTTGACTGAATCATTCTGAAAAACCATAACAAATATGTTTTTATACATTAGCCAGCAAGTGCACATCGTAAATGCATTTTTATCCAATCATTCCTTCTCTTTATGGCTGGGTGAATAACTTTTATTTATTACTTGCGAGGATACTTAAATTATACTCAGTATTTTTATTTATTTTTTACAAATTTAATGAGATTTCTGACCTTAGCTCATATATCAAGTTTACACTGTATAGCCTTTTAACCTTCTTAAATTCTAGCACTTTCTATTTATGGAACAGAGCAACAGTATTACTATAATACAATTACATAGCTCAATTAGATGATCTTGGACAGAACTATGCACGCTAAGAACAGCATGCTGACCATAGAGGTGGCCTCATGGAAAAACACATTTCTGTGAGCCATCCTCCCCTGTACTCACCGGAAGATCTTGTTCTAATTCTGTTGTAATTATTGTGTAGTCTTTGAATCTTAACCTGATTGTGCTGCCTATTTTTGGTAGTGTTCCATCTAAAAAAGAAAGAAAACCTACATTATTTGGAAGAGAAACATTATTAGGCAACATTAACTTCTTGCGACATTCAAACTAAGAAAAGCTGCTGCAGCTATCACAAAGATTGATAATGTGTCTTCAGGTGTCTGCCTGAATTAGTGCAGAGTCAAGAGGCTGCTAATACAATCTTCCACAAATTCCCTTAATAAATGTAAACTGAAATATTGATTTCTAATGTAACTTTATTGTCTCTTTAAGTATAAATTTTTGCAAGCTACTTTCATGTGGTTAGTTTTTAAATAATTTGTAATTATGGTTACAATAAAAGTTGTCCCCTTATTTTTTGCAAAATATATCTATAGATAATTTAAATGTCACCTGGAGTGAGAAAATCCAAATTAGTTCCAATAAACGGAGGTAATCTGCTCGTAATAAAATCTTTTTTCATAAAGGATGATCTCGGTTTCCTCCCCTTTTCCAAATGGCCTTCAAGGCGTTTCAGGAAGCTACTTAACTGTTTGGATGAATCAGATAAATCCATTTTCTAAACAAAAAGACAAGAATAACTTGCTAACAACCTGAAATGAGAACTTAATTACTTCATTGATGTAATGATAAAGGAGACCTGTGAATGCTTTATATTAGTTAACTGTTGTAGAACAAGTCAGTTACATACCTCCAAGAACACATTTTTAAAAAAATGAAAATATACATTTCAGATTCAGTTTTAGATTATTTATTTTTAAGTTTTAAATTTTTGTAAGAAATATATCCGGAACATAACTGTTCTATGATTCTACCATAAGCTGATAAAGCAGCATGAAAAATATCACATTAGAAATGTGGAGAACTCATTAACGTACTGTTTTCACATAAAGGTATTTAAAAATAAAAACTTTTGTAAGATCTTTTGCTAAGAGCTAAAGCTCACAATTCTGACAAAAATAATGTCATGGAACCCTTAGTGGTGATTAAAAAGAATTACTTTATAATTAACACTGCGGCTACAAAATTTGCTTCTGAAACAAACAAATTATTTTTTCCTTTAGCCTTGTAGCTTTACCATTAACAATTGCCTTGGAATGTTCTTTCGAAACTCAGCATCTTCTTTTGCTATATCTAAAAGAAGTCCAGGAACCACATCCAGTAAGTAATCTCTCCAAGAGCTGGCATGCACAAAACAAATTAAAGTTATTAAGAACAAATAAAATATTAACAATCTACAGAAATGTTTCTTATTGAAATAAAATGTACATAAAGTGGCCAAAATAGCACAGCTCAGAACCTCATACCATATATTCAGATTTCAGAGAAGTCCCACTGACATAAGTGAGGACTCAGTTTTACCAGTGTGCTTGGACTGTATCAGATAGCATGTTTTGGAGAAGGGATGATACCGAACCTGTGGCACACAGCGCTGTCTGAGATCTACCTCTACTTTGGACTCAAAGTCTTGAGCACCTTCATGTCTGTTAGATTCCTGATTTTAGTTTTCCATGAAATGAGTGCTTTGTGCATGTCCAACTTCTTCCTGCAACTATTTTATGACACCTTTCATGGCAGCTTGTCAAATGCAAAGTATTTTAAGTGATTCTAAAATGTTAAAACATTCCTGTGATTTCTTAAAAACTTTGTTCAGTCTCCTTCCATGAGAGGCAGGCTGCAGAACTTTCTATTAATTGCAATTTCAAAGAGACCTTTAAGGGGACCTCAAGGAGAAAAGTGCTCAAATCCAGGAAAAATTAATTTTCCAATGTACATAATAGCCTACAGAATATTTTATGAAAGTTATTATTCAGATCTCACAATAATTGAACATGAAAAGCAAGGAAAGACCCCAGGAAAAAAACGGTTAATAAATGATCTTATTTTTGCCTATACTATATGCCTGATGTCTCCCCATAGATTTTCAGAAATATTCAATCTGAGGGACTATGAAATCCATTCCAAAAGCTACCTCATCAACAATTTGGAAGTGGATGGCGTAAGGCAGCCTATTGGTGCCCATCATCGTCATGAGCGTTTTCTGGGGGTGGATTGGCAGAGTTTTGCCATGATTGGTCCCCAGGGGCCCTAACTGGGGTGTTATTAATACAATGCTGGTGATAACTGCTGTGTGCTGCTACCTATTCTGGCTGATTGCCATTCTGGCTCAGTTGAACCCACTCTTTGGACCACAGTTAAAAAGTGACACAATCCTGTATCTGAAGGAACAGTGGCCTTAACCATTNCTAACCCATCCAAATATATTGCAGTTTCAATATACTTGCATTCATAAAGGAATCCTGACATTCTGTTTTGGTTAATTGATTCCTCTTGTCTACCCTCCTGTTTCTGAAGGATTTTTTTTCATTAGAGCTGAAAAGTGATCCTAAAGTGATAATTTTGTAACATTTTAAGGTACCGTTTTAAAAGGACAAATAAGTAACTTATTTCTCAAACTTCTCTTATAGGAGGAGATTACTATGACAGAAACCACATTATTGTAAATCAACTTAACATCAGTGAATGTACACAGAAATGGGACTTTGAAATACTGTGAACGGATGTTCCCAAGATAAACCTATTTGAAAATATGTATTAAATTATCTGAAAATACTTGAACTACTGAAGAGACATAGTGTTGGTTTATGATAAAGATCTGCCCAAGACTGCCAAACGAAGAATAAAAAACAGCTTCTTTAAAGTTAACCAAAAACTTAATTTTTTACTTTCAAGTATTGTTATTCATAAAATATTGCAGGATAATTTATGCCAAATGTTCTTAACAATTTTGGATTGCTGGTAACGAAAATTTAAAATGCAATTTTGTACAGATTATTCTTTCACAGAACTGATGCATTGAAATATTCGAAATTTATACTACACTTTGATACAGTAACTCTAAATTGATTAAGAGAATGGCTGAAATTATTTGTCAATCCTGTTTGTATTCTAATGTAATAAATTATGTATAATTCTAATTAAAACAGTTACAAACATGTTAGAAATAACAAAAGTTTAAAAAAAGTGATCTGTAATTGATCTCGTCATTTATTTTTTACAAATAGCCAAAATGGGCTAAGGGATGATATGTTATTAATTCTTTGCCTAGTATTTTCCCAAATTATGTCAAACTTACACAAGCAAAGCCCTTATTTTCGTGGTGTGGATTCAAAATTCCACAGTGTCGTAGAGCAAGAGATTATAAAATACCTATTCCTCCTAGGACTGCTCCTTCTGGAAAACTGATTAAGGCCTTACAGTTGCTTTCAAACAAACAAACAAACAAGTCGGGAAATAGAGGTCTTATCTGATGTGTCTATGGCCCTAATGGTTTCTCCTTGGACAACTATTATTGCTTAAATTTAGCAATTTGAATTGGTAAATCTTGTCATTAACATCATAAAGCACTGTCACAGCAGGAAATTTACCATATTGTTTACCTATAAACTAAGAAAACATATACAACCATTTATACAATACACATTTGTACTATTTGTACAACTTATTATCTATGCAGGATTTTTTAAAAAAAATATCTTCCTTTATATATGAGCTTCAAAATATCCAGTATCTAGTAAAAGAAACCTAGTCAAAATGGAATTCAGATTAGGATTTTACTTTTTTCACCCTCGTATTTTCTATCCATTTCATTTCCAATAGTATTGTTTCACACAATTTGAGTGTGATTTAATTTAGTTTCTAGTATTATAGCCAAAAATGTTTCTTGTAGTTTTTAGGCCCAGTTCAAATAAAATACTGAAATATCCAAATATTCATTGATATTCAAGCCCAATCATAGGCAGTGGTTGCAACTTGTTGATTTTCGTTAATAGAACATCCATGGATCTCTACCTCCTAACCAGATGTTTTGCCACAGATGTTGTAAAATAAATCATTTATTTACTTCTTGCATTTCTGCTATGTAACCAAGGTATTGATATTTTAATCTAAAGCACTTATTTAATAGATGGATTTTATGTATACTACAAACAAGCAATATATATATTTGATAACACACCTTTTAAATAAATTGTTCTTTTCAGCTCGTTATCCTTACTCCATTTCTGATAAAGACCATCTGATTCATCAATGTTGTAACTACAGCTCCAATCTGCTTTCTTGAAACTCATATTACTACTAAACATAACTCTAAGAAAGACCAGATAAATAAATTGCCAATTATTTCTACAAGCGAATGTAGCTTATGGAAACACTGTATGTAATTAGTTTTTTTCTGGGTATGTTGAGCCTTACAATGAAGTATCTATTCAATAGATTTATCTTAAAATTAGCTTTGAAAGAAGCCTAACATAGTACATCTTTAAGATACANTGATCATGGGGCACTGCAACCAGTTGTAAGTGTGAGGGATGAGCACAACTCTGAGGACCAGTCATAAGCACTAGTTCTTCAGTGCCATCATAACTTTGGTGGCTAAATGAATAGTCAAAAGACGAGGACTACCTTCCCTTTGTCAAGTACACTCCATTTAATCCATACAACTCTTCAGCCCCCCTTTCACGTTCTGTCCCAGCTGCTCTTTTCTTTTGCTCTGCTCTTCAATATGCTTCTTTTCTTTTCCTAACACCTGCCCGGAGTACTGCAAGATTTCTTTCCCTTTTCTTTTTCTTTTCCCATTCATTTTTAATTTGTAATATAAAAAACATTGCTACTTTGTTTTTTTGAAGGTGAATTATCACTTCTTCCCTGCCACAAAGTTTCTTTTGGCTTACAGAGGATTGTAGAAACAGTAGGACCACCTGTTTCCTGCTGTTTTGTTAGTGGACTGCAATTTCTGAAGTTAGCTTAAGAAACAGCTGGAAGTAGCATGGGAAATAAGCTTGTGAGGATTGTCAGTGAGGATTGCCTTAGAGAGCCTGGAATTCTGGAAGTTAAAAGTCACACATTTTAAGATTGTGAAGATTGAGAAGCACTGCCTTAGAGAAAGAAGGAAGAAAAGCAGGTGTATCAACAACAACCACTGGGGCAGCTGAAATAAACATATTCAGACTGAATAACTGTTTGCACATTTACTGTACAGTACACAAACTTTATGGCAATCTTTTTCATTTTTTGTCATCTATTAGTCATTTTAGTATAATTTTATCATGTTCTCAGTGTCATTGTATTTTTAATCTTATTCATGTTTTTTTTAATCACTGCAGTTATTTATAACAGTGAAACTGTGTTTTAAAACCAAGGTTCCAAATTATGGTTTCATATATGGACTTGGTGGGAAAATGTTTACTATAGTAAGGCAAAATATTCAATATTTTTTTTAAAGATTGTAGAAAGTCAGGTCTTTCTAAGAATCTCTCTGATCCTTTTTTTAAAAAAAATCCAGTTAAGAAGGTTCAGATCTTCTAAACTGATATGGCTGTTTTCAGTCTATGAAATGGAGAATATACAAGAAACAAGAATTAAAATAAGTAGTTAAATAGTTTGTGAATTAGGTTTTATCATAGAAACTGGATTTGTAACAAAGCTTTCTGCTCCTTTTAATAGAGGTTAAATCCATGGAACAAGTTAATTTGTATCTAGATAAAACAATACTAAATTTATGTACCGGTAATGTATGTGTGTTTGTTTTAACTGTAATTAATTCCATCGTATTTTTCTTGAGAAAGCTGGTATGGTTACTCTCCTAAGTATCAGTTGCACTGAATTAATTTATAACAGCAACTCTCTGGACAATTGTTGGTTTTATTTCAATACCATTAAAAATAGCATTACCTTTGAACTAAGTTTGGTTCCTATCCATTGAAAACTATCCATGTAGGTTTTTTTGGCAACAATGCAACACTGACTTCATATTCATATTCATATTGGCTTCTTCTATGTGTTGATACATATTTCCTACTGAAGACTACAGCACTAGCAATTTTCTATCTAAATATGTCCAGGTCCAATCCCATTGCATTTCCAAGTGCAAATAAGGTCAGTCATATTGTCGCCATTCCATGAGATTCTATTTATAGACTAGCTGGATAAATAATAATTCCAACTTAAAAATAACAGTGGCAGCATTAGTTCTGTCTCTTTTCTCTATTTTATCCATATGCCACTAAGTGATCAACCCATTGGTCAGACTTCCATTTTCCATAACTAATGTGGAGTCCTGGGTAGATTCTGGGAATCAAGAGTATCCATAGATGTGGTAGGCAAAATGAAGATGGCAGTCATAATGTTCTGAGTTCTGCCTTTTGTATGGCTGTCACACATACATGGAGCTTCAATTACACTATCATGCTGCAATCTTGCCTTTCTTTTTGCCATGCTCTGTGAATTCCCTTGCTTGAAATTTTACTCATAATCTCCTGTTCCAGGCTTTGGATTTTTGCTGCATTCTCCTTGTTTTAAAGATTTACACATAAATAAGTCTTAGTCGAGAGTTTGGTGAAATTGAATGAATTAAATCCTACATTTAAATAAAGCCTAATCCCAGATTAGTGGCTAGTTCACTTTCACTAGTTCCCTTACTATGGAACTGCAAATAAAATGTAGTGACAAAACGCTATGACTTTTGCATTTTTTGTCAAAATAAGAAAATATATAAAAGATCCTATTTTTACTTAAGATCACATAGAAAAATGAGGGAACTGATCCAGATAACTACAGGTATACCAAAGCATGTAAAACATGTGCTTTTATCTCTTCTGCTAAAGAGCTATGGGTGACATCTCATCTCTACTTTCCAATCCTTCACACTGAGCACATTAGAAGCTATGTAGGAAGTAGTCTTATACAACATTAAACTCTGGGTCTCTGCATTCAACCAAGAGTCTTTCCAATCCCACACAAACCTTTTGAAACGCAAAGCTGCACAGGAATTTGCCTGACTTCTTTTGTTCTCCTACCTGCAACATTTTGATGGATGATCTAGAGATTTAGAGACAAGGCAAGCCTAAATCTGAAAGTTAACCTTTTTTCTGGGTTGTGGTTCAAAGTAGCAGTGTTTGAGTATTTAAAACTTTAGATTTTGATGTTAGAGAATACCCTCCCTCCTCCTGTATTTTGGTAGGACCAATAATGTAAAGCTTCCAATTGACTGAGTCTTAAAATACAACATTAAACTTCTTTAAATTCATGAACTCAAATAGAAATTGAATAGTAAGCTAAAAAGCTTCTCTTTATATATGGTACTTAAATAATTCCACCAAATTAAAGCCAATGTAACTATAACAAATACAAGCCTTCAATTACATGAGTTTAAATGAACATCAGTTGTGATGCCTGTGCCTATATTGCTCACCTGTTATGTCTTTTCATGAATGACCTTTGAGGATGATGGTGGCTATAGCAATGATTACGATGATCACTGTTATAGGCTAAAACCAAAGTAGGCCAAATACAGGTGAAAAACAGCAGCTTTAATGCAAGGATCATGTCTTCCAATCCACAGAAATTAATGTGTATCAGTCATCTTTCATTCCAGTGGTCCGCTTAGTCATGCGATGAAAAGGGTGCAAATAAGATGAGGCATTGCAAATTCAAAGAAGAAAAAAACATTCCACTTTTCTTTATCTGAAGTTTCTTCTTATTCCTGTAGTTTTTAAGTCCTCGGCATTCACATCCTATGGTTTACCTCTCCTTGCTCTTACAGTTTTACTTCTAGAAATACACTAAATAATATTGTCTACATTGTTTACTCTCTTTTTCATCCATTATTTCTCTCTCTGTGGGAGCATTTCCAGCCCAAAGCCTTAATGCTCATTCAGTGTCCTGTTTGATAAAACATTGACACAGACAAAAGAATGATGTCATATTTAATCTCCTTAATCTTCCACATTACTGGGGTTTTTTTTAATAAGCAAAACTTTCATTTCCCCATGAAAATCTGTGTTTAATAAACAAAGGTCAAGAAAATAAACGTATTACATATGCAGAAAATAATTCAGAAAACTGGGCTTATTTATGCATACATATTGGGTGTCTGAAACAGAATTTTGTAGATATTTAATGAAAACCTAGTATCACAATATCTTGTTTATTGGGAAAAAATGGAAGCAAATTAAAGCAAAATATACCCATGGTATTAGTTGATCAGGGCACTTAGATTCTTACATAAAACACTATCAACTTGAAAAGGTATTGCAGCAAGTTTCAGTGAAAACATTTGTATTTCTGAATGAGATTGGATTGGATTAGATTGGATTTATTAAATTTATAGGCCGCCCAATCCCGAAGGACTCCGGGCGGCTTGGCCCTTTCCACATTTGTACCTAACAATGGCATAACTTTTTTTTCTGACTTACCCCAAAAAGTTGCTTTCATCTTTTCCCCAAACTGTGATGGAGACAAACTTAAGTTGTTCTTTGCTGTACTGGTATTAAAATAAAATGTCTACCAGATTTTCTGAATTTTAGCCCTAATTGTCAAGCACTGTGCCCATCTAGCCAGAAGAGATCCTATGCAGTACTCCAAAGATCCAATAAATTCAGTATTTTTTTCATTCTTTCCGGTTGGGTCAGCTAAGAGAAAAAGTAGGATAATAGTTGCAATGCCTGTCTTCTAGAACCCCAGGATACTGAGCCACAGAAATGGTAGATCACACAAAGTTTCATTTGTGCATGTGCTAGGTTAGGGTTGCGCTTGTGAAACCATCTGTTGTGGCCTGCCAGCAGCCACGGATCTGGAAGTGGATTCACACAGTGAGGAGGTTGAAGAGGAACATGGGCCAGTCCTGGAGTCTGGGGAAGGCTCTGACGAGTGTTCTGCATCAGAGGCAGAGATGGGACCAGGGCCATCTGACAATTATCAGCTGCCTTCGGAGTCGGACATCAGTGCGGCAGAAGAACAGGTGGAGCCTGTTCCCAGTGTGTGCATGTGCAGAGCTGTCAGGAGAAGGGAACAGCTAAGGAACAAGGGTCGACTTGGGAGTAAAGCCACAGGTGTACAGTGAATGGCCCCTCCCATAGGGAATAAAGAGGAGAGAAAGGGGAGTTTGCAGGAGGCAATTAGTTCAATTCATTAGAGTGAAGGTCTGTTCCTGACTTCTTGTCAAGTATTATTTGCTACAGAGTGGTGTTTGGAAGATATCGGCCTGGCAG